ACTATTCACTCATGGTCTTTGATTTTAAAAAATCTTTGCTATCTGTTGTTGTTGCCAATTTTCATTTCAAATATAGACCTCAGCTGTCCTCTCTTTCCTTGAGTAGTAGTGTTAAATATTTCTCCATTTATTAGTCCTTAAGAACCAATTTGTTTTTTATCCCCCTTTACAGATTTTTGCTTTGAATTATTTTTCTTTTTCACTTTTTCAATTTCTACTCTCATACTCTATTTTGTTGTTCTTATTTCTTGAGCACAACCTTTTAGTTATTCCATTTTTTTAAGTTTAACAGTTTTATTGACATTTAATTCATGCACTATATAATTCAATGGTTTAAATAGATTTTCAAAAGTTGGGCAATCATCACCACAATCAATTTCATAACATTTTCTTCATCCTCGTACCCATTAGTACTAGCTCCCCATCACATCCCCTCCAAGTCTACCCCGCAATAACCCTAAGGAACGATTAATCTAAATTATTGTCTCTATGGATTTACCTAGCTTGGATTTCATATAAAGAAAATCATACAAAGAAACCCAGTAATGACACCCAAATAAAATTTAGAAAAACCTCAATATAAGAGCATAGGAGAAACTAGAAATTAAAAATGGGTAAAAAGGAAAAACAAATAAGAGTATGCCAAATCTTACCTACCCATACTTATATCCGCAGCAATTCACTTTGCAATGCACTCTGTCTGAAGACAAGACTGTTTACACCACTAGTCCATGGTCCCAGCGAATTCAACGGAGGCTTACGCTAGGTGGGAACTCTGCAAATGTATTTTGGGTTTTCACTGCCATCCATAGTCTTCTACAAACCTGGTGCTCAGAATTTAAGCTCTAATATTGTTCCCTCCTATGATTTTGGATTTTATTATTTACAGTACTTTTGACAAGGTTTCTGTTTCATACATGCAATTCCATGTGAACTTAGCTGACACCTCACTTAGATGGCTGTTTGTTTTAAGACACGCCTTTAAGACCCTAGATGCACCAGTGGATCGGCACCACATTTTGCTATAGCATCCAGATCGTCAGTGATTACTTCATCAGGGCAAATATGGCGTAGAGCCACATCATAAGAACTAATTGTTCTGAGTTAAGGTTTATGATTCAGTGCAAGCTCAAAGTCCATTTGTATATCTAAAGTTTGTATATATTGCAGTCCACTTTAGAGGCAGCATTATCAGCTTGTGGGAAAATAATTTAGTAACTTCCACGAGGCATTTGGTAATGTTAATAAACTATTACTCTTAATATTTTGGTTTTCCTTATGATTTCGTTCCTAATCCATTAATTTGAGGCTTTCTCCCCAGTTCCAAACTAAACCCGAATGGATGATAGATATTTTATATTGATAACTCAGTGTCTAGCAAAATAATCATTATGTACGACATCGTTCTTCCATCTGCTGTGTTCTCAGACAACAGAGCTATTGTTAGAGATCAGAAAAAACTGTTAAGTTTACCTTTTTGGAATCTCAAAAAATAGTCCTGATAATAATTTGAGCTAATCTCTCTGCCTTGAATTTAATCCTGTCAGGAGTCAGTTTTAATTTCACTCGTGTCTGAAGACTCTTTAATGAGACCAAGAGACTTGTCTGTAGCTGCCCACTGATCACAGAGACATGTCTGAACATATTTTGCTGGGAAAACACCCATGCATGTGTGAACTGGAACCACTGCAGCAATAATCTTTGATGTGGTCTCTTACAAATCAAAAGGTTCTTTGTAATTTTAAAATGTTTTCCTAACTAGTAATTGCCTATGTTTTAACTGTCTCTAATAGTGCACATAGTGAAGAGCCCATTGTAATTGGCTATGGTTCAAGATATAAAAATAAAATGTAAAAATCAATGAACAATCTTTCTGAAATAAAGCAAAGTGTATTTCTACTAAAAAGTTGTACCATTTGTTATTTGCAAAACGTATGAATACATGATGATTCTGAGGCCTCCAGATGTTTAGACTTTCTGCTGAGTGTACTAATGAGTCCTTTCACCATTAGTGGCTCTATCTATTAAATTGATGAATTAATGTTGTGAGATACAGGAAACTACAGGCATCTATTAGTGTTTCACAGTCTTAGTAACATATCCCTAATTCTAGATAGTAAATTTCAATTTCTCTTCCTACCACTAAGGGTAAGGGAAACTCTAAGGGTTTAAAACTGTAAAACATTAAATCCAGAAATATCATTTAATTCATCAACTTATTAATGAAAGTTGGCTAACAAAAATTACACACTGGATGTCTTTAAAAGAATCTCTTTCAAGTTTTCATTCTAAATAATAATTGCATTTCTTCCATATACTTCTTGAGAGTTAATGTATTTAAAATGTTTTGCATATTTACTTTATTACCATGTAATTTATTTTTACTCCTTTGGGGGTAATTTTATAATAAAATTAATGGCAGCAGCACAATGGATAATTCTAATACATTATACTTTAGGGCTCCGTGGAGATACACAAGCTTTATTACAGGATACATTGACTTTACATTATGAGATAGAGAAGTTGAGTGTATATTACTCTCCCTTTGGGAATTTGTTTTTAATTTTTTAAAAATCATTTTATTAGGGGTTCATACAACTCTTATCACAATCCATATACA